CGACTGTCACTTTGTAGATTTATATACTGATGAAGTGTGGTGGGCTTGAGTGGTACAGTGGCAAGTGGCACAGCTTAACCACGCGAGCGGTGTGGGATCAAATCCTGGGTCGTGAGTCGCCCGGGCCAACCAAGCCTTCCATCCCTCCGGGGTCGGTTAATTGGTACCTTGGGGAGGATAAAAACACTGACTTGTACATCGGCTGGCCCCCGCAAGTCATTGTATAGGCCACATCGCATTCAAACGCCACTGCGAATGTACAAATGGAAGTAGAATGCGTGCCGCATCCCAAAAGGGATTGATCAACGGCCAATGCTTCATCCTTCTCATAACTGTGGTAAGTAGACTACTAAAAACTTGGCTGAGCTGAAGTATGGCCTCGATTTACGTAAAATTTGGCGCTTCTGCTCGGATGGCATGTGCAGGTTAGTGTATTGGCTAAGGTGAAGCCTACTAGGTGTCCATAATTCAGGGTCCATGTGATAACATTTGATGCGAATGCTCCCAAATATTTGCTCTATCAATACACATTTGTTCTCACAAACTGGGGTGTTTTATTGGTGGGGTAATTTCTTCCAGTGGAGGAGGAAAACAATTTAATCTCATGATCGATCCTCGCGAAATAGGTGACTATGACTGTTATTATGCTCGCGTTTTCATTGTTCAAGCGAAAGTTTGACAAGCTCAGCGTTCAAGGCTTCTGACTAGCAACACGCGTTTTTTTAACTTCATTGAACTAGTACCCTGGCGTTGCTATTGATTTCCGTAGATTCGGAATAACTACTTGTTTTTTGTTCCATAAATCTTTTTTTTTGCCGTTTGGGACGATCAAAGCTTCTCACTGGCATTTCGTTAGTCTTCCAAACATTTGGATTGGTTTTTTTTCTCGGAAACCTCCAAATGCCATTTTTTTACAATCCCAGCAGCTTCGAGAAGAGGAAGTTCCGCTAATGGTAATTGTTGTATCATCCTTTTTTCGGAACTATGCAAGCAGTAATAACTTTTGCGAGGTAGAGCCTTGCATTGCAGTTATCTTTTTGTTGTGTAACATTACTTTTCATTCTCCTTACAAATGGTAAAAACTGCAGTAGAATGGCATTACTAGGAATGCTGAAGGGTTGTAATGTAGTGTGACTTTCTCTACAGTGTTGCTTTAAGAGCTTCTCTGGACGAGCATCCGCTCAGTGTCTTCAGCGTTCAACTTTGGCCTGCTGCAAAAATGAGGCGTATTCGTCCAGAATTTTTCAGGTATTTCGTTCAGTGATGGCTTGTGTGCTTCATAGGCATGCTGTCGTTGTAATCTTTCTGTAAAGTGCTGCTTCAGACAAGATGGTCGAGGTCGTTGGGAATTCAATATGACTGCTGCTAAAAATGGCTTGAAAGACGATTTGTCTGTGCTGTATGAGTCGGTTAGTCGCTTAGTTCCACTATTCTCATGGTAAAACTGATGATGGTAATAACTTATGTCGACATAGAAATAGCGTTCCAGGTGGTGAAAACGCCTTACTTGTCTCATTTTACACAAGATGATGCCGAGGCTCTAATGCAGGTTCGTTGCTTAGAATTCTGTTATTAAAACGAATTTGGAAAAAAGGTATGCATCAGTCCACCGAACGACAATGAACCACTGGCGGGAATGGGTAGGCAGCGTTCAATCGGAATTACTGTTCATCGATAAGCCCTTAACCGTTCCTATCAACAAACACAACAGAATACAATACAGAATGGTCTTGCCGTAATTGCTTGCTAATTCGTGTCTATTCTTCATATTCTGTGCGTTGCTCGGTTTTTCGTATTTGGCATTTTGTTTTTTCGCTTGCGAATGACGGCTCTACACTTTTGAAACTGAAGTTTTCATTGTTTTGCGCATTTTTAATGAAATCTTTACGAATGTCGTATAGGGTGAGTCACTACAGCAATGCGAGAGAAATATGAAGTTATAGTAGAATTTCTCGTTGGTCAGCAGGTGAGCAGGGGCTTGTGAACAGGAGCAGATTTGAGAAGAGAGAGTCATTCTGTGTGTGCGGTTTTGATGTTGACTGTTTCGTTTATTTCCTCACAGATCCTCCATTTCATGGAATAGAGGCAATTTTTATTGACCACCTAATTACGTTTTTTTATCTTCAAGTTTTGAGAAGTCTACATTTAGGTGTGCGTTGCTTATGGACGGGAATTTCAAGACTATATTGATTACAAATCTGCTAGTTTTCCATCCTAAACTTCCCACTTTTGATATATCTTTCTTAGTTTGTTGTATTTTGGTCTAAGAAATGTACTGTGCTTCACTCTTTGAGACGTGTTATTGAAATCAGATTCCAGAGATGAACTAGTTCTTGTCTATAGCTCCCTTCGTTCATGTGGATAGGTGTCATAATTTTGATCTATGGCCTAGGTGAGCAGTGACTAAGGAGACCGCATTGTTTGTTCACTTTCCATGAGTTCGAAGTCTTAAAGGGTTTTGACAGCATTGTATGCTAACCACCTTCTGAATTGTTATTTCACAAATATGTTGACATTCTCATTGTCAGTGAGATAGTTCGCTGATTGAGCAGGAGCAATTGTGTTGCCAGTGCGTCACGTTTGCTCTGGTTTCAGCTCACTTTGATGTACTGACCGCATAAGCGACGTGTTGTGTGCAAATATTGTTTTGTAAAAGCTTCCATATGCTTTGCCACAAATACTGTTATAGGAGAACTAAATTGGACGGAGTATCTGTTACTATTGTTGCTTTTGTAATACTGTAAAGATTTGTTGTTGTACAGGAAATAAAGAGAACTGGACTTATGGTGAAGTTTGACTGCAGAGGACCAAGTGATCCAATACCGACTTCAAAATATCAGCAAAAAAAACGTTTTGTTTTATTGATTCGTTCAATTCAGTTGGGTGCAAAAAGCGGTTCCGTGCACATTACCGCGATGTCTTCTCGTGGTCGCAGCACGAAGATGACTGCTCAAACGTCGGTTAGGCAAAGTTGCACAATCATGGCAGCGTTTGAACGGCAAACAAGAAAGAAGGTTTGTACTCATTGATGAGCTTGGTTTGACTGTATGAAGAATAAGCGGCTTAGGCGTAGTGGGGGTGAGAGTAGAGCTCAAGGCATTCTAAACCTCAACGAGAGTTTCTATTTCCGTGTCATTTTAGTCTCTTTCCTACGCAAGCAAAGTTGCGCGCCTCTCGCGAAATTTCCTCCTACTGCGAAAAATTGGATTGCTGTTACCGAGATGTGTTGCCACGAATCTTACCCTGACTTAACTACAGTTGCGCCTGGTAATCGTGAGCAGTCGAGCTGCAACGCACCCGAATAATTTTGCAGGCGTAGACATAGAAAGGCAGAAGCAGTGCGTCACAGCAGTACTTCTTGTCTCAGTCTCGATGTGGTCACGTTTATCAGGCGCAGCTACAGCTGTAGTTGGGTCAGGAGCCATGGGGAGGTTCGCGGCCAACACTATCTCAGTACAGCAATCCAATTTTTCGCGGTGTGGAAGCTTTCGGCCTCGGAAAGGCTTCATTGAGTTCCTTACATCCGCGTTTTTTCACCTTCTCTTTAATCCGCCTCTTATCTTATCCAGTCGAGGCATGAGCGGCAAGAATGGGCCAGTCAAGGCAATTGCTGCTCTCGCCCTGTTATTTTGAGATGTTGTAGAGCTGAGAAGGTGCTTTTTCACTCAAGGGTAGCAGTGCCTATTTCTGTAAACTTCTGAATTCGCCAATCTTACGTAGTCGATCTCTTCTGGATCTCAACTACCCCTTCCCCCCCCCCCTATTGTTTTTTATATTCTTGCACAATTCCTCTTTCACTCCTCTCTTTTGCCTTCTACCATACTAACCCAGGAGGTTGACATTACTTCTGATTGCGCGACGCATCTCCATGCCGCTTCCCAGTCCGCATAAGTTCTATGGAAGTTTTAGCGAGATGTCTCGGAAATTAGCACCTCCAATAAACAAGAGTTGAGTGAATGTAAGGCCCTTCAGATGCCGCGAACGCTTTTTTTTTCAGGATTGCCCCGTGTGTAAACAATCCGTACTCTTGACTCTGTACAGAGCCCATTTGGATAGATGCCAGCTGACGTCAAACGATAGCGATTGCGAGGTCTGTTGTGTTGAGTTCTTTCTAGTACTGTAGCACTAACCAGGAAGACGAATTCAACTTCCCATGGAACTTTGAATTGAGACCCACATATATGGATAGAGCTTTAAACGCTGATTACAAACATCTAAGCTAAAACTGCAAAATGAACCTGCCAGGAAGTTTGTGAGCAGTCAAAGTTGGCTCCAAGTCAAGCGCGTTACGTATTAACCGTGCTAGCCCCGAGCTTTCAGAGTCGTCGTGGAGTAGTGTCTCAAAATTTGCAGTCCAACAGGAAGAGAACTTATGGCCCCTCAGGTGGAGAGCAGAGGCACTGTCGCTACTCCGCGGCGACATTGAAAGCCTTTAACGTAGCACGGTTCATATGTAATGCTTCACTTTAGCCAACTTTGACTGCTCACAACTTCCTTGGCAGGTTCATTTTGCAGTTTTAGTTTCCATATTTGTAATCAGCGTTTGAAGCTCTATCGATATATCTGGGTCTCAATTCAAAGTTCCATGGGAAGTTGAATGCCTTTCCTGGTAAAGGGTTTTTACTTCAATTTACCTAAAATATTTTGAATGTTACATTTTTTTTTCAAATCTTCTTCAAGTTGTTTCAGTCGTTCCCGCCGTAGTTTCTCTGTGATGGCAAAGAGAAAGAGTTCTTCCTTATGTTTCTGTGCTTGAAGCGGAAAGAACTAGAACTAAACTTAAGACAGCGACTCTAAGTTAGAAACTGTGAAAATCCAAACATTGTCGGTTGCATTACAGTATCCCTGAATGACTTTGAGTGCGCCAAATTAAGCTAGGAGTTGAGACCAAGAGAGCTAGCTAGTGGCAGGTAGGGTGTTTTCAATGGTACCTCCCACACCGCTTCCACTCATTCACTATCGCTTCTCTTTTCGATCCTTTCGCTAAACATCTCTAAGGAAGTGGATGTGAGCAAAAGGGTACCTAAATCTATGAAAAGCGAATGAGCCAGCGCTTGATGACGATGGCAGCATGGCGATTTATTACAGTGATCACGAGTGCAAAACTTGGCTTTTAGCGTGCTTTTGACTTCTGACAGCTCTAAACAATCATTCATAAAAAATGCATTTCAGTAAAAAGGAAGTAATAGTTATACAAGCCCGCATGGAGAGTGCTGCTTCTCTCGAGAATTCTCTGCACAGTAAAGGTAAACAGTTATAACATCGCCGGAGTGTTTGAAGGACCCTTCATGTTCATCATCGCAACCCAATTTCTCTGTGTTGGCTTCGTGTTTGGCTTTGGAATTCATCGCTTTGTGTTCGCTTCATCTCTGATTTCAGATTATCAGTGTCTTGACTGGTGCTGAAAGCCGTGCTCTTCATGCTGGACCGTCTATAGTGATAGACGATGAAGAGGTGGATATTAAAGCAGATACTTGCATCGAAGCCTCGTCAACTACCAGTGGTAAGCATCATGACTCTAATGTCTGTAATATACTTGAACACTCAGGTGGAGGGGAATGAAATTTTCGTACCTAGTTTCGTCCATGTTTCAAAACCCAAGAGGTACTTTCGCCTTCGCAGCTTCCCCATCTTGCTGTGAGCTCCGCTCACTGTGGGCGGGTTTCCTCCCGGCCACTGTGTGCTTCCTATATCTTGACCCATTCCCCACCCTTTACAAATTTGACCTAGATTCTTCTGATTGGGCCTAATTTGGTGGCAGATAGAGGTATAACTCTTTTATATGGTAAGGATAGCGCAATAGGTATAAGTGTTAGATTTTCTTAAGTGGTGAAGCGTAATTCACTAAGGGCTCAAGTGGAAATAAGCAAATCTCAAGGGTTCATTCTGCCTGCCTCAATCTTCAATTTAGCGTTACGAGTGGAACAGAGAAGGAGTGAGCGAATAAAAGTTCGTGAGGAGACCACTGATGAAGTGACAATCCTCAAAGTAGAACAGATTGACCATTCCAATGAAGATCCCGAGTAAGTTCCTCCCTTTGTTCAATTACTGATCATTGAACCACAGCCCAATTTTTTTTTCAGAAACCGTCCACCTGACAAGAAGAGATTTCATTATTCAAGTGAGGAGCATGGCATCATTTCGAAGAAGCGAAGTAAAAGGTAGGTAATAGCTAGTTCAGGTACTTCTTGCTTTCAACAGTTGCTGTGAATCAGTTAGAACGGGGTCGCGAAAGGATTGCGGTGTTCGCAGCCTTGAACTTCGCCCATCATGTGCAAGCCTGATTGTGTGCGCCTAGGACAGTTCCGATCAAGTTTATCTTGCTTTGGAATTGACCTTGCGTGTTTTGAAGGCCGTCTCGTTGCTCTCCTACACTTGATGATCGGTCTTTGATGGAAACGAACACCGAAAAACACCTTGTTCCCGATCAGATGGAGAGGAAGCTTGTCAGTGCTGATGAAATTGTCAGAAAAATCGAGGTATTTCATTTCTTTTCAATGCTTCAATGATGTTTGTCAGTCTTCCCTTCCATGTTTCAGCAGATTCTGTCCAACTCATCTTCGAATCCTTCGCCTCATAAGGCCGACGATGAAGTGGACCAGAGTAGTCAAACTATGGAGTACAAAAGGATACCTTACATTGTGAAGTTCACCCTTCTAATGATGCGACGGGTACTACATTTATTAATCCTCCTCACTATTTGACTTTTTTTTTAGCGAGATGTCAGGTGAGTTCATGTCGCTGAGAAAGGCGGTAATGTTTTCTTCCCTCCGCGCTTTTCCGCCTAAATACGACTTCATGACTACTATGACCTGCGCGCTCCAATGTTACCCACACGAAAGTGGCTTAACTCACCACCTCGTCCTTATTTTGCAATATTTCTCTGTCTGAGTGACTCGCTTTTGGGGGCATTTTTCGAAACAGAGGGTGTCCATTCCGTTCCCAGGAAAACCTATGCTATTTCTTTTCGCGACGTGTTGTTAGTATGGACTGACATCAAAATTTCATAATTCCTTTCGCAGTGAATGGGTAGATAAATTGACATTGTCCGTGGAAGGGAAATATGCCCAAGTACAAAAGAGTCTAGGGTTTCAAAGGACCACAGAGGTGCGCTTTCGTGAGAAGGCCGTGTGCAAAGTGACCATTACACGCTTTAAAATCTCATCCTTAGATGCCTTCGTCACTCATCGGCCTCCGATTGGCTGCCCCGACCGCTGATTCTCGCCTGCAGTCTATTTAGCAGAGAACCAGAGCGGTTGTGATGTTAAGTTTTTGTATGAATATCGTCGAGCACTGGCTTGGAGGCTCTCAGCGTAAAAAATAAATAGGGTCAAAAGGGTCCTACCTCGCACGGGTTTTGGCCGTTTTCTTTGATATTTCTGCACCCCTGCACATATCCATTTCTGCTTTTTGCTTTGCTGGGCTGCACTTGGTGTATTGGCAAGCGCGGCGCTGGCCTTACCAAGGCGACGGTCCGGGACCGCTAACTGTCGGCCCGTGGTCGTATAATTGGTACCCCAGACGACCCTCGAGTGGGAGCCTTACCTGCCCCGCTATAAAGAGTTCTGCCAGGGTTGGGGTTTAGTTATGCGCTGGCGTCGATGGACTCTTTCTGATGCATTTTTTTATTCACTGCTGTTGTCTATTCCAACATCCTCCATTGATGTAACTCATTGAAGGTGCTTCTTGCTGTGAAATCGGATGGAACACGTTATGATGAATCGTTCTGGCAGAGAGATATGGCGATATTCTGATAGGTTAATGCATAATATTATTCCGGAGAGATAAGTATAGTGCCAATCGAATTGATTTTCTTTTAGGAATCATGTTTATGCTCTGCAGTAATAAGGGAGTTTAATAATGTTTTGAATATTACAGATTTCTCGATCTTTCTCGCAATGCCCGTGAACTTTTTATGAGATTACATCTGAGGAAGTCATGGTGGTTGACCGTGGATAAATTGAAAGAAAGGTATTTTTCTCAACAGAAACTAACATTGGTAGCTTATCATTTTGTCAGATAGAAGATTAGCTTTTCTTCCACCTAACTGTGTTATAGCGCATGGAGAAGGAAATCGGCTCTGTTTCCCCACGTGTTCGAGACTGCCATTACCTCCCTACTGCGTGAATTGGAACACATATGGCATCCGATGATATCAAAAATACTAAAGACCCACATAATATCGATTTTTTCGAGGCAATGATAATGAGTCTGGAATATGACAGGCCCGGTCGCGTGAAGCAGCGGTTTGCTGCTATTTAGATACGTGCATGGTGGATTTTTTTTCATATCACCGGCCCGAAAAGCTAAAAGGCAGAGTTTTTACGATGAAAAAGTTAAGCTCAATTGGAAATAAGGCAGAGGCTCGGTTAGTGGAGCGCCGGTCATGAGGCAAAGAAAAACCATGTGAGAACGGCCCCGGAACCCCGAGAATATGGGACCTTCCAGCCTGCTCTTGATTTCCTTATTGATGCGGACCCGGGCCTCTGCATCCGAGCCCTCTCAAACACGGTACGCTCCGGCTCCGTGCTGCTGTCTAGTCACTCGCCCCAGCGGTTTCCCCGTGCCTTGGTGCCGTATCGCCTGGTCGCTACGGTTGAAATCTGTGGTGCGGTTGCTTAGATAGTCGTGGGGCGTACCTACCCCCCCGCCAAAACGCGCCAACGAGTGAGCCTCTGTAACGCACAAGGTTCCAAATCTCTCTCTCCCTGCTAATTGAGCGTTGGTCAGCAGCCTCAAAAGGTCCTCTTGTTTCCCAGTATGTAATTTTCCCCCCTTCTTGACCTTCGTTCTTATTATTCAATTCCTCCTTTCATTGAGGCCCTCTTTCATTTAGAGAAATATCAACCATAGCTACGTTATTTATTTATTTATTTTCTTATTTATTTATACATTATCAATGAAGTGCGCGCCAATAAGAGATAGGGGTACGTTAAAGCATCTCTTACTAAGCATTAAGTCTACATTTTCTTTGAAGTGGTCGCTCATGGGCACAGATGGTACAGTGGCAAGTAGCGCCACACACACTCTCGCAAGGTCCGGATCAAGGGCCAGATCGAATCTTATCTATGCCAAGCAAACCTTCCACTTTTTCGTCGTCGGTAGAGTAGTGTTCGGTTTTCCCTGGGTGGGTAGAAACACTGACTTGTACACTAGGCGACCCACCGACACTGAAAGATAGAAGGATGCGTGGTGCATTTTAAAGTGTGAATGAGGAAGGCTGAATGCTTCATCTCTTTCCTTTACTGTATCTCGCTTATTTATTGCCGACCCTCGGTTGATGCTTGAGGCTCTCCTATCTATTGCTTTGTTTTTTAAAGAAAATGAACTCCCTTCAACGCCGAGGAAGTCGCAGTTATGGCAGCAAAACAGAGAGTTAATTTATGACAATTCAGATATGCTGAGTTATCCAACGACATGGAATCCGCCCTGGTGCAGCTGGTTGATAATGGCTTTGTTGACAGTAGGCATTAAGTACCTTCATAATGAAGCTGCCAGCACATGAACTTCTTATGTTGTAGGCGACAGGAGTCTGGTGAGCCTCGAAGAAGCGCTGAAGGTGGCTCCATTGCCAGTTTTGAAATCCGTTGCAAAAATCTACCAGCTCGATACGACAAAGGTGATAATTAGCTGGATTTTGTTTTCTTTTACTCGTTTGAGTAAGCTATTTTTAGGGGAAAATTGAACTGAGTACGACGTTGACGACTTTCTCTGCGAAGCAGAAGGGGCTTTTCGGACAAGTGGGTACTGTAGCAGTTGCGATGCTCAGAACGTAAGCATATTTTGCAGCCATATGTTTCTTCAGGTAGGGCGGAAGTGGTGTAGTGGCAAGTGGCACGCTTACCACGCGAGCGGTCCGGGGATCAAATCCTGGGTCGTGAGTCGCCCGGGCCAACCAAGCCTTCCATCCCTCCGGGGTCGGTTAATTGGTACCAGACTTGTCTGGGAGGATAAAAACACTGACTTGTACATCGGCTGGCCCCCGCAAGTCATTGTATAGGCCACATCGCATTCAAACGCCACTACGAATGTACAAATGGAAGTAGAATGCCGCCCCAAAAAGGGATTGATCAACGGCAAATGCTTTATCCTTTTCCTTTTATGTTTCTTCAGGCTACAAAGGTCGTGTGAGTCGCTTACGAGAACCAAGCGGTATATAGAACATTGATGGGTAATCCGGGGTTAAGCGTATTAACATGAAAAGCGATTTTTGGGTTCTTCTAATGGTTTTTCATTCTTTGATGTAAACCAGTACGAATGCGAAAGTGGTGTGGTGGTGCAATGTGACACGCTTACCACGCGAGCGTTCCGGGATCAAATCCTGGGTCGCCTTCCATCCTCCCGGGGTCGGTTAATTGGTACCAGACTTGTCTGGGAGGATAAAAAACACTGACTTGTACATCGGCTGGCCCCCGCAAGTCATTGTATAGGCCACATCGCATTCAAACGCCACTACGAATGTACAAATGGAAGTAGAATGCGTGCCGCATCCCAAAAAGGGATTGATCAACGGCAAGTGCTTTAACCTTTTGCTTTTACCAAATACAGTATTTTCCAGAACAGTTGAAAAAAAGTGGCCTAAACGTCAGTGTAAGTGTAAGACCTAAAAAAGCTGAAGTAAGATGTCACAGGGTTTACTCCCAAAGTCCCTTCCAGTCCGTGTTGGTTAGACGTCAGACGCAAGGAAATAAACAGTCAAGACGTGGTGTCTTAGAAACATAATAAGGCAGGCCAGACAAGGGGTAGTAAAAGGGAAAATAGGCGGGTAGTCAGACTTTCAATCTTCTCCAATTGTAGTTGCACTGGATAAGCTGAGAGCCCACATTCTTCACGGATTAGTGAAATACTGAATTTACTCCACACCCAGTCGCGAAAACGGATCAAAATGATGGTCGGTTGTTGGCAGAATTTGTAGGGCGGATTTCACTCGTCACGTATTTCAAGAAAGCGGTTATTTTAATTCCCTGTCTAATCATGCGTTTCAAATACATCTTTGCTCTGACTTCCAGCTTCTCGAAATGTCCTAGTTTGTATATGTCAGCGGCAGAACATTAGTTCGCCGTCTCCCATCTCTAAAACTTCACTAGTAGCTGCAATATATGAACGATTGAAGCGACTCAAACGAACTTTTACATTTCAGGATCAAAAAAGAACTGGGTCCTTGCTATCGTGTGAACCAAAAAGCCAGTGAACTTTTCAAGGTTTGTTTTGCTCACGAGAACAGCTTTGTAGAGTTAAGGGCAGGTGGCACAATAGAATTGGCTATTGATCAAAAGGAGTGCGCCGACCAGAAATGAAGGGTAATTTTCCAAAAGACCGAAACGTTGGTGAAGGTTGCGGTGAAGGAGAAATGTCTAGAGAAATGCTAAAGTCCGCACCAATGTTGCAAGCTATATCATTTCTGTAGACGTTTTCGTCCCTCAACGCGCCTACTCCTCCTGCTGTGATCACGTCAAAGAATTCCATCCGCCTCAGCAGAAATCCAGCGAAGTGCCACAACGTTGATGGCGTCACCACCGTTGTGACTCGCCCAAGGCGCAATTCGACGGGGAAAGCAAGGGTCCCGTTTTGTAGGTTGTAAGCCGATTTTCCTTATTTTACCTTCTTTGGTGCACCTCTTATTGTTAGGAGCTTCGCTATCATCCCAACTAGGAGATCAATTTATCGTACCATCTGCCGGTAAAGTCCTTGAACTGCATAGTTATTTCTGGACATTGTTAGATTTACTCAAAAAGCCATTTATTTTCAGGCCCTATTCACGCTGTATGCCCCAACGGAAATGTGTTCCAGCCTTGCAATCGACCAGCCAAGTATAAACATTTCGCAAACTTTATTGTAGGTTTACATTCCCACGATCTGTTTGAGTTTACTTTATTTCTGACTAGGGTGAGCCATGTGTCGAGGGAATTCGACTAGCGCTTCCTCGCCTCTCCTCGGAGTTGTACGACCTCCCTATAAGGATCTGCAACCTGTGTCTTTTTGTTGAGTTCACCTCCCATCTTCCATTCTAGTCCGAAGCTGTACCAGTCAAAAAGAGGGCCCGTATCAGTGGACAGGGAGGGGTCGTGGTGGCAGAAGGGGTGGTTTTAACGGGTTATTGGCGATTTTGGAGAAAGCGAGTTAAGGGTCAAGAAAAGGCTAAATAGACAGAAGAACTTCGTATATTTAGACAGATTGTTTCTCCAAATTTGTCCTCACCCCTCTTCCGCCTACCTGAGGCCATTCTGGAGCAAGAAAGAAGTGAGCGGAGTTGGAGCATGCCGACTGGTCTGAAAATCAAATACTATGGGAACAGGGCAGCAGCCACAATAGTGAGGTTGGTGGTCAGTGGTGGGGAGGGGGATCGTTTGTGGGATCCACTAGGACTGATGATGGTGGCGGTGGGGAAGTCGTGTCGAGACTCTCCCCAAGACAGGGTTCGTCATTTTCTTTAATATTAACAACGGTCGGCTAACCCTTTAGACTCGATTAGAGCAACCTGCGGTTTGATGGTTTTGAAGCGCCATATCGCTTAGATCCCATTTGCGGTCCGTAAGAAGAGGTCCGAATAAACAGTGTTTCAAGAGAGGTCTAAGATTTGCGTCGCGTTACTCTTAAGTGGAGCAAAAGGCTTTCTCTCTTGGACATTTTAACTCATTGTTATGGTTTCATATGCAAACGTTATCTCAAAGGTCCTGAGCTTCAGTCGATTGCGTGACCATCACGATGGGATTGGCTAGCGCTTACCAGTCCATTTTTAGATTCTATTTATATTCAGGTACACATTGCTTCGTATGGATCAAGGTGTTGTTCGATTTCCTGCTCCGAATCCTTGTCCAGAGAATCATTTCCATATATGAAAACAAGAGAACTAACGAATGATTGCAATTTAGTAGCTTCACCGGGAATTACCAATCCCGCAACAAATTAGGCTGCTTTCTGTTTGTTAACTGCTGTTTTTGGCACAGCCTTGCCAATGTTTCACAAGGAGCTGGGTTGTGAAAAAATTTTCGCCTTATACGGAACAAAATTGGGCTGCACTCATATTCTTTAAAAGTGCATCGTATGGTCAGAAGTACCCTAAAGAACTTTTTCGCTGTGCATCAATCATGCACTCCTCGTAATGCATTGTTATTTGCTGCCACGATGTGCGTGCATGTCACACCCCGATCCTGTATGCAGAAAGGTGCAATTCCATTATGGAAGCGAAGGAGCTTGAAATTGAACTTCTGGTTTTCTCAGCAACAACAAATTTGCGGAGGCATACGAATGTGCATACAGAGCTCGGGAACTACTGACATCGTTAATCCGAAGACAGGTAATTCTCCTTAGGTTGTCTGGTGCCAACTGTTGCGAACCGTAGCTGCCACTGATCCGATTGTGAATCGGTGTAAATGTGAATTTAACGAAGAATTTCAAGCGAATTCACTCAATCTATAGATCAAAGCACTGTATATCGGCACAATTGTACACTTCCCACCGTACAGAGCTCCTTTTTCTCAACTAAGTTGAAGCCTTTCAGGCGGCTTAAAAGCTGCGAGTCTGCCGGTTTCTCTTCGACGATTTACTGACTTCTCCGTTCTGAAGAGATGTGTAGCACATGGAGCTGGCGTATTAGAACGACAAAAGAAATATGCCATAGCAATCAGCTGGCAAAGGTTCCT